AGAGAGAGAGAGATTTCCTTCTGAAATGCGGAGACCTGTGAGATCCGAGACCCCAACAGTCACAACCAATAATCCATCCGCTGCTCCCAACGCCAAACGTTCCCACGGTGTTTCATTCAAGTGTGAGGGGTGTAACTCCCACGCCTACAACCTTGAGTGAGACCTGCGTATTCCTCCCTGTCTTTCCGGTTTGTCCCTTTATCTCCCACCCGCTCTGACCTTCTCTTAAAACCAGGGGTGGGCAAACTTTTTGACTCGAGGGCCACAATGGGTTCTTACACTGGACCGGAGGGCCGGAACAAAAGCATGGATATAAAAGGGTACATAGTTTTATTCATTTCAAACGGCCGGATCCTGGCCCGAAGGCCGTGGTTTGCCCAGGGCTGCTTTAAACCCTTCTCCTCCCTGCCCCTTGCCCCTCCTTTCCCCTTATGGCTTCTCTCAGATTAGCCTACAGACACACAATGGGGATCATCACTGGACGACTTACTTCTCTTGGGCAAATCACTAACCTTGCTTTGTCATTGTTCAGCGAGCAGAAGCTCGCGTCTCTCTGGAAATGCGTACAGAACATGAGATAGAAATCATTATAGAACCCAATAAATTCATATCAAATAAATTATAAGCGAGAACCAGAAAGGCTTTGGGTGCATTTTCATGTTAAAGGGCTAGGTTGCATTTATCGAGGGACACTATATAGGGTAGATGTAGTCACATTCCAGTAGACCCATACGGTTCTTTCCCCCCATGCTCTGGTGTTCGATGCTTCCACGCTTGAAACCATTGTTCTAAAGGAAGCTGCTCTTTCATCGGAGATGGGAAGGACCTGTCAGATCATACACTCTGGCTTTTGATCCGTAGGAATAAAACTCCAGGGCAGGGATGAGCAGTTGGCTTCATCGCAAACATTTGTTTAGCCTCTTGTAGGAATTCCACAGGACTTAAGTGAACAGACCCATCAGTGAGCCAAGAAGGGGCCAGTCGTCGAAACAGCTGCGCCCTCCACCTCTCTGATCTAGAAAACAAAGAAGCCATTTCACGGTGTTCAATAATAAGAGACCTTAATCTTGAATTTGGACGTAACTGGACTTGGATAGTCAGAGTTCTCTTCACCAAAAGTATATGTTCCTCTCCTTTCTTCCTATAAGGACGGGGGCAGAATTCCATAATTTCCCCCCCAAAATACCATAATGTTTAAAAGAAGTGAATGGCCTTCTACGGACAGAAACTGCTAGGAGGTATAACCAGGAAGCAGATTCTTGTTGGCGTCTCCCCTGGCTTTTTCATTCTATTTATATCGAAGGACTGGGGGCCACACGTTTCAGTGGACATCTCTGACAAAGAGGAAGAAGTGAGAGCACGAGAAACTGGCGAGGAGCGTTTAATGAGCACATACCAGGTGCCAGGCTCTGTTAGAAGTGCGTTCTGTTCCCTGTATAGTTTAATCCTCACAATAACCTCATGTGGCGGGTACTAAGGGTTACCCCCATTTCATAGATAAAGAAACTAACACAACGGGTCAGGGTAACTTGGCCAGGGTCGCGGTCACAAAGCCAGAAAGGAACAGAAATTTGAACCCAAGAAACCTTGACTCTGGGGCCGGCCCTTGTAAGCACTGCGTGCCCCTGCCTCCTCGAGGTGGTCAAGGTCTCGATGAGTTAAAGACCCTTTCTCCATAAAGACTGTAGAAAGCCCAGCACATACTAAGATCTCATAAATTCCAGTGACTGTTTGCTTGATGAATGTGGAGATGGAAAGATTCCAAAGGAGCCCTAACTGGTTTGGTTCAGTGGCTAGAGCATCGGCCTGCGGACTGAAGGGTCCCAGGTTCGATTCCGGTCAAGGGCATGTACCTTGGTTGTGGGCACATCCTCAGTAGGAGGTGTGCAGGAGGCAGCTGATCAATGATTCTCTCTCATCGATGTTTCTAACTCTCTATCCCTCTCCCTCTCTGTAAAAAAAAAATCAATAAAATATATATTTTTAAAAAGACTCCAAAGAAGTTATTGAATACAAGAAAGGATCCACGTAGAGTTACCAGGGCGGCAGCTCGTACAGTCTAACCCAGGGGTGGGCAAACTTTTTGACTCGAGGGCCACAATGGGTTCTTAAACTGGACCGGACGGCCGGAACAAAAGCATGGATGGAGTGTTTGTGTGAACTAATATAAATTCAAAGTAAACATCATTACATAAAAGGGTACGGTCTTTTTTTTTTTTTAGTTTTATTCATTTCAAACGGACCGGATCCGGCCCGCGGGCCGTAGTTTGCCCACGGCTGGAACCTGTTACATCTTCATAGGGTTGCTCACCCGAGAGGAAAAAGGGGCTCACCTACTGACACCAGGAGATTTCACGCCCCCACCCCCTCTCCTGCTCTCCTAGGCTGTGGGGGAATTAAAAGTAGCCTCAGGAATAGGCTGGGGGCCTAAGGGGTTGAAAGGAAGCAGTGGGTGTTCAACAAACTATCATGGGCAAGCCTGTGTGTGTTTATATTGGGAAGCGGGGACGGTTGCCAGAGCATTTATGGCCTAGGTTGTTTCCCTAGAAGTGACACAGATGGGCTTTTGCTGCTCTCTCCACACTCTAATCTGAATCCACGCAGTCTCAGGTGCGTTTTTGTCTCTATCAAGAAGGTGGTCTCCCTGGCTCAGGTGGGGCGGGGGGAGAGGGGGGAGTGGGAGGAGGGAGGCTGAACCAGTGCCATCAGCATGGCCTCCAGCAGTAAGAAGAGTCACTTTTACCCCATCCGGTACAACTGTATTATTGCCCTTCTCAAAGGGTGGCGAGTTCAGGGAAATCTATGCCCTGCCTGAGTATGTTTTTGCTTTGGCTGTTGGGGTGCTGGCAGGTTGTCTAACTCCTTTCAAGCTGCTTCCATTGGGCCTCAAGGAAAGGCACCAGCCCTAGCCAGTTTGGCTCAGTGGATAGAGCATCAGCCTGCGGACTGAAGGGTCCCAGGCTCGATTCCGGTCAAGGGCACATGCCTGGGTTTCCCGCTTGATCCCCCAGTGTGGGGCATGCAGGAGGCAGCCAATCAATGATTCCCTCTCATCATTAATGTTTCTATCTCTTTCTCCCTCTCCCTTCCTCTTTGAAATTAATAAAAAATATATTTAAAATATACGTGTTTTTTTTGTTGTTGTTGTTTTTTTAAGGAAAGGCACCTGCTGATGCTGATTTATATGTAACTTTCAGAATTATTCAGAAGTGGGTTGAAACAATTCCTTTATTCCAGAATTTTCCAATGTCTATTAATGAGAGGGGGTGAATTTTCATATTCAAGGCAGTTTGGAACATGCTTGGTTAAAAGAGTTGAATGTGTAAATTTCTCAGAGCCTTTAACATAATGATGGGGATTGTGAGTCTGTAATAGAGTACCCAGAATCTCCCACACGTGCCTCACCATAAAATCCACGTTTATAAGACTTGTTCGGGTACGTCTTGGAAGTTATTAGTGGGTAAGCACATAGACAATGAATGCTCTCTGCAGACTTCAGCTCTGCCACTGACTATGGCCTTGAACTAGGTACGTAGCCTCTCTGGACTACAGTCTTCTCATCTGCAGAAAACTGCCGCTGCTGATAATAATAATATGTCCTTCGGGGTTGTTGTTTAAGATTAAATGCCCATATACATCTATCTCTCTATCTTACTAATATGTTAGCTATTGTTATTACATCTATTCAGCCGTCCGTCTACTAATAATATAGGCCCCCTATACAGGTAAAGTGTCAATTTCAGAAGTTAGAGACAGTTCCTCCTAGAATAAAAGGAACGCCCACTGAAGGAATAATATAGAGGCATTGAGTTTGGGGGGACACACAACAGAGTTTCCAGTGTAAATCACCCGTCTAGTCAGTACGGCCACAGTCGTGCCGAAATGCCAATGTTGACTTGTAGCAAGGACAGGTGAAATAAAAGAGAGGGGAAAGCAAACCGTGGCAAGAGCGCTCCTTGTGTTGGTCTCATTGGGGCTGCGTCGAAAGGGAAAATGTCACGTGATGTGTGATGTACAACGGTAGCCACAGGCCATGTTCAGCTTCTGGGATGTGAGTGTCCCGGAGAAGAATGGCTGAGGCAGCAACTTAAAGAGAGAGCCATTCATCCCAACAGTGAAGTGAACTAATATTCATTCTCTAGGTTTTAAAAAAAAGATGGCGGTCTGTTCCCTGGAGTTCCCAGTCCCATGGAGGGCTTGCTAGATTGTAACAAACTCTAATAATTGTGCTTTAAACTACGGCATTAGAATAGTAGTAGGTATGAACCAGGAGGTCATGGTGCAATTCCTGGTCAGGACACAGGCCTGGGTTTCGGCCTGGATCCCCAGGAGGGGGCGCGCAGGAGGCAGCCGATCCATGTTTCTCTCTCATCATTGATGCTTCTATCTCTCTCTCCCTCTCCCTTCCTCTCTGACATCAATAAAAACGTATTTTAAAAAATAAACTAGTATCAGGGAACAGCAGAAACTGATTCCACTAAAAAAAAAAAAAAAAAAAAAAAAAGCAGGAGGTGACTCTTAGATGGAAAGGCCTGTCTCAGGAGCTGGCCTGGCCCAGAGGAAAGTAACGCTCCTGCGTGTGTGTGTGTGTGTGTGTGTGTGTGTGTGTGTGTGTGTACACACTACAGGAGGGAAGCCTTCCACGCTGGAGCAAGTGATTCCATTCGGGGGGCTGTGAGGGAGCCCCACTCGCTCAGAACTGGGAGGTTTGCTAGCGCGTCCTTCAGCCGCCCCGTCCAAAGTGACTCTATCAAGTAAATACCGTAAATCCCGGTTGTCAGGGCGCACGCTCCCCCTCCCTCCCCTCCCCTCCCTTCCCTGCGCGCACACACCCACCCCTCCGCCGCTCAGGGCGAGCTCGGGGCTGAGCGAGGAGAGGACTTCTGACTGTAATCCTAGCACGTCACTTTGTTGAAGGCAAACACGTGGTGCAGAGGGAACTTATAAATCTCTCCTCCCAGGCAAGACCGTGATGTTATCTGCTGGCAGCAGACCGTTCGCTTGGAGAGGAGCTGCAGAAGCTGAGAGAGAGAGAGAGAGAGAGAGAGAGAGAGAGAGAGAGAGAGAGAGAGAGAGAGAGAGAGAGAAGGGGAGCAAGTGGAGGAGGAAAGGGATGGAGAGCCTAGTATAACGGTCTAGGCAGCCGTTCGGGATCGGGCCGGAGGGGCTGCCTGGATGCAGAGCGGAGAACGGAGGAGGGTGGACTCCAGGGTGCCCCGTGCCCCCCTCCCCTAAGCGAGCAAGTCCGAGGGGCAGAGACACCGGGAGCGCGGGGCAGGGTGGGCGTCCCAGGGCAGCCCCGGAGGAAAAAGCCGCCCCGCCGGCCGGCCCAGGGGCTGGAAGCCACGGCGGCGGCCGCCGGCCGGTCGCCTGCTGCCTGGTTGGCGTTTGGAGCGAGCGCGGAAGGAGGAGCAGGAGAAGGAGGGCGCTGGAGGCTGGGCGCGCCTGCCAGCGGCGGCGGCGGCGGCGGCAACGTGGAGTAACCGGGCGGGTCGGCGCGCTCCGGCCGGGGTGGGGGCCCCCGCGCGCGGCTCGGGGAGCAGGGTCCTCGCCGCTTCGGCAGCCGCTGCGGCCGCCGCGGGATCCGAGCGCGTCCCGAGCTCCCGGCGCGGCGCGCCCGGCTCCGGGCTCCGGGCTCCGGGCTCGGCCCCCCGCGCGCGCACACGCGCACACACAGACACTCACACGCACACACACTCACACGCACACGCACACACGTGTGCGCTCCTCCGCTCCGAGCTGCCTGCTCCCGCTCCCGGCGCCGCGGCGGACCCCGGGGCCGAGCCGCCTCCTGCGTTAAACGTATAAACCCGCTGCGCTCCCGGCGCCCCGCCCGCCCGCAGCTGCCAGCGGGGGCCTTTTCATCTCTTCCCTCTTGGCCGCGGGAGCCGAGTTCAGATCCGCCACTCGGCGCCCGAAACTGACACACTGAACTCCGTGTCCTCCTCCTGCACCCACTGCCGCCTCCTAGCCACTCGCCTCTCTTCCCCCCCAGCTCGTCGCTGCAAGGAAACTTTTTCTAACTCCCCCCCCCACCACGTGAGGGTTCCCTTTGCCCATCGCATAGGACCGTTTCCACTTAGGGAACGACTGGCTTTTTCTTCTGAAAAGAATTCTCCAGCAAGATACTTTTTTTTTTATTATTTCCTCTCTCTCTCACTCACTATTGGACAGTGACTCGATTGTCTGCAAAAGTTTCGCATTAAAAAAAAAAACTACCTGACCGGTATTTTCAGATTTCTTTTCAATTTCTTTTTCCTCTATTTTTATTTTATTTTTATTTTGGGTACCATTTTTTTAAAAAAAAATTTTTTAAGAAAAAAAAAAGAAACTTTTTCCACCTTTTTTTTTTTTAAAAAAATGCACTACTGCGTGCTGCGCGCGTTCCTGCTGCTGCACTGGGTGCCGGCCGCGCTCAGCCTGTCGACGTGCAGCACCCTCGACATGGACCAGTTCATGCGCAAGAGGATCGAGGCGATCCGCGGGCAGATCCTCAGCAAGCTGAAGCTCACCAGCCCCCCGGAAGACTACCCCGAGCCCGAGGACGTGCCCCCGGAGGTCATTTCCATCTACAACAGCACCCGGGACTTGCTGCAGGAGAAGGCCAGCCGCCGGGCGGCCGCCTGCGAGCGCGAGCGCAGCGACGAGGAGTACTACGCCAAGGAGGTCTACAAGATCGACATGCCGCCCTTCTTCCCCTCGGAAAGTGAGTGCCGTCTTGTTTGCTTCTGGGGGTTTTTGTTGTGTGTGTGTGTGTGTGCTCGTGTCCATCCTCCGAGGCTGAGCGCTGCCCGAGGCTCCCCAAGCGGGGCCACCACGCCAAGGGATCGCCCTGGCCCGTCCACCTTTGGGTCCCCAGCCCCTCGCCCCACGCACGCCCCTTCCACTCCTGGGCTTGAGAAGCTGAGGCTGGAAAACGTTGCCTTTCCATTGTATTTTCTCCATCCCTCCCCCCCTTTAACTCCCCCCCCCCAGCACCCCTCTCCTGTCTACGGCGTTCTTTTTTTCTCGCCCCTGAGGTTCTTGGCTGGGCCACCAGCTAGGAGCCGGCGTCCTCCCCTGTCCCCCGAGAGGCGCTCCCTGGGGCCGAGGGCAGCAGGGGAATCCTGGTGGGTTTCTTTCCTTCCCCCCGACGGGCGTGGAGCCGGCCCGGCTGGTGCAGGAAGGGTTAAAAAACAGTGGCCCCGGAAGGGAAGGCGCCCCTCGCCCCGCCGACCTCTCCGAGGGGCTCCCCCAAGCTTCCCCCATTGTCTCCCGCTCCCATCGCCAGGACACACCCGATATGGTGAAACCTTTCCAAAACACCTACCTCCTAACCCCCGGTTCTGGAGGCTGTGGCCACGGCCAGGTGTTTACATTCCCAAAGGCCGCCTTGTGCCCAGCCCGCCCCCCTTCCCCCTCTTGGAAGTCACCTGGAGGGGTGGAGAGGGCGGCTTGGTGTCTGACGGTGCGGAAAGGGGGTGGACTTGCACGTTATTTTCCAGAATCTACGCAACCCTGCCTCCTGAAGCTCGTGGTGTGGCAACACCGCCTTTCTTATGCGTTTCTCTTCCTCCCTCCGGAGCCCTGAGCTCCTGCGGGGACTCGGGCCGCACTCCTGAGCGCCTCCGAGAAAGCAGAAGGCAGCTCATTTGTTTCCTGTGAACCTGCTTCTTTGAGGGCAGCGTCCCCAAAGCCAGCCGGCATACAGTAGCGATGGGAGCCCAGTGATTTATTGGGGAGTTCCTTGGGGTGGGGGGAGTGGGGGAGAGAGAAGGGCAGTCTGCTTAGAATTAGTTCCAATCCTTAAAAAAGAAAAGAAAAAAAGAAGCATCCGTGATACCTGAGAGGGTTAAACACCAGGAAGAAGAAGCAAAAGAAAAAGAAAGAAAGAAAAAAAGCTTCGATATTTGCGTAGTCCAAACCCCAAGTTGTAAGCTTTTCATTGGCGGCCCATTTCTCTCCACCCCTTTCCATGCCCTATATACTGGCCGGCTGCCTTCACGGAATCTCTGTGTCTTTCCTAAAGAGATAATATGGCCCTCTTGATCCGTTTGATCCCAGAGGTTCTAGTTATAGGGCGGAGCTTTTCTTTTAATACTTTTTGTTGTTGTTGTCTGACAAGTCGCAGCTCTGTGACTTGCCCTGTCTCCTACTGGACGGTCTCAAAATGTGAGCCGGTGGAGCTAACCCAGGTCTTCCAAGCGGCCCCTCTTTTGCTGCATCTTCTCCTGCAGGGGATCCTGGCAGGCAGGACGGTTTTATTGTTGTGATGATGGTGATAAATGCACTCCACCCTGGTTATTCCCTGCGGGAAGCGAAGCTCCGGGTCTGGGGTGGAGCCAAGGAGATATTAGGCAAGAAGGTTCATTGTCATTAACCCGAAGCCACTGAGATCGAACCGGGGGCTGAGTCGGTTTGCCTTCCCCTGCACGTGCGTGGCTTCCACGACTGTCTGGGCAGACGGGCCAGTGTGTTATGGAGACCCTGAACTTGGCATCCCAGTAGCGTGTTTACCTGCAAAATCTCGGATGCATCACCGGCGCTTTTCACAGAGGAGGGCTGAATCCATCAGGAGAGAGGTGTGGAGAGAGCAGGGCACCCAGGAGAGCCTTCATTCCCTGTTCTTTCCAGCGTCTCTCAGTCCCAAGGGCTGAGTGATCTGACCTGGGGTCATGGCCATCACCGAAGTGGAGACATTCTCACAGGGTCAGGATTCCAGATAGGGCCGCTGAGAACAGCAAGTGGAAACTCTTCCCCATCCCATGTGGAGCCCCCAAAGATAGGAAAACCTCTCCGAAGTCCAGTATTTTTCAAAATATACTGTGGGCGTTTCATACCGAAATACAGGCTTCTTAAAGCAAAACGCAGGCTTTGTAAAGCCTGTCCTGTGAACGTAGGTTGAGGGGCCGAGAACCACAGCAGACTGCATCCTACTGTGTAAGGACTGTGGACCATTTCACAGAAAGTAGGTTAACTGATTTTCCAGCACTTTCGAGTTATACTGGAATATAGTACACCCTTCCAAAAAAAAAAAAAAAAGTTGGGGGCGGGGGTGGGGGAGAAAAGAGAAAAGCACTCCACCATATTTTTAAACAGCAAATTGAAAGTACAGCCTTGGCTTCCGTACCAACGTTCCCCCTTTAGGACTTGCTGGCTGCCGGAGGGAGTGTGCCTGTCGCGGCTTGTAGGGACTTCGTGAGGGTCATGAGCCCCCCAGAGCCCAAGGCATGGGAAAGATCACTGGTTCATTTTTTTTTACCCCCAACTTATTAGCGTTCAGGGAGTGACTCCGGCTCAAGTATTACAAATATGCTCTAATTATACTCAGCGAGCCATATATCATTTCAGATCGCTGATCGCCCTTCGCGGCACATTTTATACAGTTCAGACTCAATATTTTTAGCAACGTGGACATTTCAAAGTAAAAATATAAGAGATATTGTATATGCCTCCAGGCATATTTTGTCTTAAATATTATCCTTGGCCCCGCGCGCGCTATATAAATACAGTAAATATGAATAGAACTGGCCAGTTGCCAACTTTCTCGGATGAATTTTAGTCAAGAAAGGTATGTAGGGGGTATAAATAATACTGTGTCAACAGTTAAAGAAGGGGTCTGATTCGTTTTGAATTTATTCATATTGATCTTCTCACATGCTGTTAGTTTAAGGCTCAAAGTGGAGTGAGGCTTAGGTTTACCGATCGTTTTACCCAGTGGGAATTGGTGGATTTCTGGGTCCTTTGGACAATCCATTTGAAGTTCAAGGCACAGCTATTCAAAAGACACTGCTCACGGCTTTAGAGATTTCGTGAGAGTAACCTCCTTAACGGAGGAGGTGTCCAAGGATGGACAGTTTAAAATCTGTAGAGACTGGCATAATCCTAAAAAGGAAGAGATAAAACCGTTTCATTTTCTCTCTTTCCTCTCCCTCTTTCATTCTAACTAATCAGGCACTTGGGATTCTAACTGTGGTGATTACACACACACACACACACACTCACACACACACACACACACACTCACCGCCCCCACCCAGGATACATCTGACATGTTTGATTGTCCTGACTGGGAGTGGAGGGGTGCTGTGGGCATTTAGTGGGGAAGGCTGGGGATTTGGCTAAACATCCTAGAACACCCACAGCTGAGCCCCTCCCATGTATCAAAGAATTATCCAGTCCAAGAGTCAGGCATGCCAGCGTGGAGGAGCCCTGATTCCCCTGATAGTGACTTGGGGTTCCTGAATTCTGCTAGTAGTCCCATGCTAAAAGTAATCACCTAAAAAAGAAAATACCTTTACAATCAAAAGGACAGTAAAATGAGAGCATTGAATAGAAAGAGAATCAGAAAGTTACCTTAATTAAATAGGAGCATGAAAGTGGACCATTTGGTATAGTCCATGCTTTATTATGAGGGTAATAAACACCTAAATTAGACATCCGAACTTCCCATTCATTGAGCCTGAGGCCTGGCGCGGCCCCACCCCTCAGTAACTTCGGTCAGCCAGTGCTATCAGTCAGGACAAAGAAGTGAGAAATTATCTTGGATTTCCCTTGCAGGGGAAATAAACAATGCATGTTAATGAAGAGTGGATTCTCCAGGCCAGGCAACGAAGAAAATAAATAATCGTGTCGGTTTATTCAATCCTATTGAATGAGATAAACTAAAATATACAGCCCGAAACATCGCAGCGAGGCTTCTTCGGTCATTGTTTTCACATGAATGTTAAACATTTGATGCCAAACAATGTCCTTTTCTATTTCTCCTGTCATTTTTCCAAGGGGAGTCGTGGGGCGTCGAAGGAATAACTCCCAAAGCGCTGTGTTCTGGGGGGGGAGGGAGGCTTAAGGTTCTTCTATTCAGGGACAGGGCTCTCCGTGCACAAGTTGCTGGACTACGGGCCAGTTGCCCAGGGAAGGAAAATATTAGCAGTTGCTGGAACGTAGCAGTATTTTTGCTTGATGTTCAGGGATTTTATTTTTTAAGATTCTCTGTGTGTGGATGTGCAAGAGACACAGAGAGAGAGAAAGAGAGAGAGGGAAGGAGAGAGCGAGAGAAAAAGAGATCAAAGACAGACTTGAACCCTTTGACTTCCACAATGGCTGAGTTATTAATAAACAACAGACCCACTTTAATTCCTTCGTTGTCATTGCATCATCGCTTGTACTAACTCTAGTGCCTAATTGTGGTTACATTTAACTTTAGGCCGCATACTCTGTCAGGATTTCCTCTCTGTTTTTTCCTTTGACTTTTCAAGGACTAGGAAAAACCCTCCAAGAAATATACTGTTTATAACTGAAACTGTTGGGCAAGTCTTTGCTGCCAGGTGAGGCCAGCCTCCTCACCACCAGGGAGGCTGGGCTTTGGAGCTGGAGGGGCCAGGTGGGGGACCCCTTGACCTCCCAGAGGGACGCCCAGCCCCGTGTCTCCACAGCGACCTCTGGGGGCGACTTCCGGAGCTGCACCTTTCGAAGGATGGCTTCTGCCTGGTGCAAAAGCGCTGATGTAACCTGATTGCAGCATCTTCCCTCTAAGATACCAAGGAGTGACAGGTCCGCTTTCCTAGAGGAACGGGAGATGGGGAAAGAGGGCTAGTGACTCACTGTCGATCCACCATCAGATCTGGGTTAGAACCGAGGAGGTCGCCAACTCCCAGGCCTTCGCCCAGAGATGACAACACGCTTCAGGCTGCATTTGTAATTAATTATTTATTTAAAAAAATTTTT